AGAAATCGCCATGGCAGAGTCTGTTTCTTTTTTTCTAAAATATGAAATTTTAGATGTATTTGAAGAGATTTTTGGAGGTTTTTTCGTCTCTAATTCTCTCGCCTGTCCACTTTCGTCCATCAGCGTGTCCACTTTTCCTGGAACAAGACTTACCAAATTTGTATTTTTGCTTCTGTAAATCATTTTACCATGCTGGAGTGGCTTATTCAGCATTCACGATACTACGGACGAATACCATTCAAAATCATTTTCATATGTTTATGTTCTTTTATGCTGGCTAGTATTTGAAAAGAACCAGCCGTGGTTCTTTTTAACAGTTCTTCAGATCAAGGCCGTTGCACATTACCGTCTATGAACTACATTTCATTAATCCATGGCTCGTTAATTTACTCAGCCCGAAGCAGGAGAGAAATACTTTGATCAACCATAGTTTTATGGCATTGATTATCTAACTATGCACTTGGCAATTTTTCCAGATGCTTTGACCAATTTTACATCACCTGGCAGTCAGCTTGCTAGTGATCCTGATGTTCATTTTGCAGTAATGTAATTATCTTCAAAAAGGAATTCACTTGTTTTCATTTACTTATATATATCCTTAAAGTAACATCTTCTATGACGTTTCCCCAAATAGATTTAACTGTTCTGTCCTCATCTAAAATTGTCACGGGGGTCGGAGGGCAGCAAGTTTTTCGTTAATCTGCTTGCCGCAGATTTTGCAGAAGGAAGATTAAGGCTAAAGTACGTATGAAGAAACTCCATAGCGTGAGCAGGAAAAATTTTTGAATAAGAGCAGATGTTAATGAATAATCAAAATAAAGGCAAGCAGATGCTATGTTTTTCTTATATTTTTTATAAGCTGCTGATTTTAATAGCCAACTGAACCTCATTTCTCTGAATTCAGCAATCCATCAATTATAATTCCACAAAATGGAATGAAATTAATGAAAGCTTTTGCTATAAAAAAAAGGAGTTTAGGTTAGTTTCATCGTAGCGTTTCTTCTCAACATTTAAGCATTTGAAAAATTGTCGGCGTCCTCTTCTCACAGTGATCAAGCTTG